GTCATTAAGTAAGTTGATAGTTCAAAGCCCTACTGATGCTTAGAGAAAGTAACTCAAAGTGCTGCTGTGACACCTTAGCAAGCCAGTCTGTCAAACTGCATCGTAACCTTTTGTATTTGATTTTCCTTCTCTCTGTTGCCATCTGTAAAGTCATCCAGCGGCATCAACTGTAATCCACAGGCAGACACACTGTAACTACATGCATCAAGGTCTTAAGAGCAGGAGACAGTGCCTTAAGGTAAATCTGTATGACTCCTCCATCCCAAAAACACAAATAATATGAACAGCATTTATTTTGCTCCACCATTTTCCTTTTAGGTTACACGTAGACAAACTTAAAGGGAAAAGAAATAAGAAAAGGCATGAAACAAGGCTTTAAGCCCCACCTGCCTGCAGCATGTACTTGCCACTTGACTTCCTCATAGTCCCACAGCTACAGCCCCACCTAGATCAAGGAACTGTTTGCAGCTAGATGTCGTACACTTCAAGGCAGTCACGATATATTACATGCACTGTCTCTCACATGGCAATTGAGATCACAAAGGGCTACTTTGGTAGAAATTACCTCTTTTCAGAAAGTACATTTAGCTACTACTTCTGCAGTCTTACGATTTGTCCTGATTTTCCCAGATTAGGACTATTTTTCTACACCATTAACTTTTTTCCCTCCTCCTTTTTTTAAACCCTAAGATGATAAAGGGATGCCGGATTCACCATCACTTTACTTCACTGATTCTCGGCAGGAAGGAGGAAACAGAATGGCTTTAAGGCAGTTACACCAGCTTAAGAGGAAAACAAACTAGCTATATAGCAGGTCCAAAGAGTACAGATTGCAAGAAGGAAAGAAACCATGGAAGTTATTGTTTAACCTGCTTCTCAGACTATATGTACAAGATTGATAGTATACAAGTGGAAACTGGAACACTTGGGTTGCCAGTCTGAAAATGTACATTAGTGCACAAACCAGAACTGAACTTCAACTTTTTCTTCCAATTCCCCCGGAAATACACTAATCAGATAGCTTTGTTTGTTTGTTTGTTTATTTCCTCTTCCCCATCCCAACAAACAAGTGCTAAAATGAAGGGAACTGGTGAAAGCTATGCTACTACAGTGCTTTTTCTGGTGGATCTGTTAGCAATGGTACTTGCCTGCATCCCCAAAGCGAGAGGAGCAGCTGAAACTCCTCTCAGCTACCTGCTGCCATGTATAACACAACACATGGGAGACAGAGGAGACCAGGGTGACTACAGGAGGAATCAGCATTTTTAGACTGCACCTCTCTGACCTATTTTGAAAACGCCCACTGGAGGATGATATAAAGCACATCCTAAAAGGCCCTTTTTCTCTCTGCTGATCATAATGGAAGCCTGAGGAGACTTGTTCAGCTCTGAGCATCCACGTTTTCATCAAGTGAAACCCATGAAGGGCCCTGAAACTGTGACACACACCCCACTGCCATGCTGGAAAAGAGACAGATCATGGGAGGACCCAGACTCCCACCCCCAGCTCTGAGGATGTGCCTGAGGAGGGATGGGACAAAAGTAAGCCCCCTCTCCTGCACAAAGCCAGGAGCAGTCATCATCACTGGCAGCAGTGTTACCCCTCACAGCCATAACATCCATGTCTACACATGCTGTGCACAGCTGCACCCAAGTGCAAGAATTTCAAACTCAAACTTCAGTTTGAGTAAAAACCTGGTTAGCACAAGCAGCATTAGGTACTTTTAACCTATTCATTGCTAAAGAACACCATGTGCCCTAAGTTCAGAAAGGAAGATCTGATCCCACTGACTTACAGGCCACATCAGTGAGCATCTGCTGACAGCCCCAGTTCCACTGCCACCAAAGGGAATGGACCTAGCCATTCCCACCTCTGGGAACAGGGGCGCAAAGCAGTTCCTCCCAGGTCAGAGCTGTACAAGTGCATGAGTCACACACTAGACTATTTTCTCCATAAGAGCAAGCCCTCAGCATCAAGCAGAACATGCTTACATTCTCCCCAATTCCTATACAGGCCAAGACATCAGGCTGAGAAAAACAGTTCAGCTCCTTGCCAGGTATAGAAAAAGGTTCTTTCACACAACACAATCCTGGCACACAATATTCTTTTGCCTTCCAATAGAGGTAAAAAGCCAACAAGAGGTATTCTTGTACCTATAAAAGGGCTAATGCCTGCCTAGGCTTTAAAGAAATATGACTTATTTTTAGTTGCCTGGTTTTAGTTTATGTCTTGTACCTCCTCACCCAGACGGATCAGTTCCTTTACAAGTCTATTTGCTTCTCTTATCTGCTGTTGACAGGATGAACTGTAAAACCAGATCACTTTAAGGGTGGAGCTCTGGATCACTTCTGTATTTTGCTACAGAGAAAAGTCTGTTTTAGCTCTAGGTGGTTCTGTACCCTCTTACAAATGTAAGGGAACTGGACCATAACAACTAGCTTTGGAAACTACAAAACTTCCCACACCAAGGAAGTGAGACAGGTGCAAAAAAAGGAGAAAGAAGGAAAGAAGCCACACTGCAGCTCACTCACATTCAAAAAAAGACAAAACACTAGTTAGCAAACTAGGTGAAATTTATGCATTGGAGTCAAAGCTGAGAGAAAAAGTCTCCCTCCACAGACCTGGAAAAGGATAATCAAGCAGTTCTTTGACCTCTCAGGCAAAAAGACACAGCATCAGTTTTCAGTTCAGCGCAAGTAAGGCAGTCATAAACACAATAAACAAAAAATACGTTTTCACTTGTGGCAGTTATACTGAACTTGTCGCACATTTCTTCCAATATCCCCATGATGCACAGAAAAGTATGAACTAAAAGCCTCACTTCTCCTTATTCTTTTTTTCTGAGCAACATCCAGAGCACATAATATTTCCTAAAACCAGTAAAAGCATTCTTGCTGTCATGATACAAGAGCATTTTGCTCTTCAATTTTATTTTTGGCTTTCATTTCCAAATCAAAGAATGGTAGTTATACCATCCCATTTAAAGATGTTGGTTCCTCCCCACGGGACTCAAAAAGGCTAAAAAAAAAAAAAAAGTCTTATCAGCCTCCAGTTTTAATCTCCAGCTTTGCTATACAGTACAGCTGAGAACAAATTCTTCCCCGTGGCACAAGACAGGCAATCCAGAGTTAAACAGAATCAGTACACAGACATATTTAAATTCCCACCATACCTTCTGTTCTCTGTGCAGAAATGAATTTCACTTCTCTGACTTATCCACAGAAAGTGCACAGGGAAAAGCAATTTCCAAGCATTCACTGGACACACACACAAACTGTTCCACAAGGAGTTTTTCCAGCCTTACCCTAAAAAGCTGAGAACAAGATGAACACACCCACACTAAGAAGTATTAGAGCAGCAAACAGGAAGATGCTCCCTGCTTGGCCAGTGAATGTGCGCAACACCAGGAAACTCCAGGTAAAGAAAAGGGGGAGGTAGTTCAGTGAAAGGCATCAGTAAGCCACTGTACAAAGAGTAATTGCAAGCAAAGAAAACAGTCTTCCGTCTGAGCCCGACACAGCCATTTCACCCAACTACAATACCTGCTTTCACTTTGAAAATTAAAATCTTGGCTAACTAAACAGCTTTTACAATTGTTCTTACACACACACACACACACACACACACATATATCTCATACTTAATTACCACATCAAGTACAAGCCTTACAGCCGGTAACAGGTCCCAAGCAAAGAGCCAGGTTTTGACACCTATTTATAAAACTTGTTCCTGAAGAAAAAAACTCCTGGAGGCAATGTCGGAATAAGGCTCAAGTAATACTCAGCAGGAACAGATGCACCGTGACACACATACGGGATGGAGCCAGCTATTCCCAACAATCATGAATTTTAAGCCCTCTGGATAACAAAAGCATCAAGAACACGGACTGCAGGCATGGAAGAGCTGTGGATTAGGGCATTTCCATGCACAGTGGAAGACAGAAGCGCTGCTGCCCCTGATGACTCGCCCTGCTGGTGCTGCCTCTCCTTCGGTCTCCCAGGGGCACTCAAGAGCACCCAGAGGTGCCACCCATCTCCGATGTTCCTTCACTGCTACCCACTCCCCTGGCAGAAGCCCCTGCTTTGAAGGAGGCTGGACTAGAGACCTTTTGAGGTCTCTTCCCATCTGAATCATCCCACGATCCTAAGTTCAGCTTTGCTTTTAAGTACTTTACTAGCAAAAAGCCACGCTTTCGTACACACACGCGAGCGGAGGGGTTAAAACACAAGCTCCCACCTCGCCATCCCTCCGCACCAGCCACACAAAGCCTAGGGCTTCATCACCCCATCGCCCAGCATGGGTCCAGCTCCTCAATTCTTTGTGTTTGCCCAAAGCGCCCGCCTCTCCAATCGGAGCCTGGACGGGGTGCTCGGCAGAAACTCTGGGCTGAGCCCCGATTCCCACCCCAACCTCTGCCCCGAGACCCCAAGCATGAGGCCCCGAGCGGCTCCCCGCTTGCACAGCCCGGGGGCTGAGGACAACTCCCTTTATCAAATGAATGAGCCGGGGAGGTAGGAGGCGGGGGAGACCGGAGGGGGAAGGCAGGCTCCGCACCTCCCTCCTAAAAGAAAAGAAAAAAAGAAGGAGGGGGGGGAGGTGGGAAGAAGAAAAAAGAAGCCCCGCTCAACCTCTGGTGCAAACTTCCCGGTTACAAAACAAGGGAGGAAATCCCCTTCCCCGGCGCGGCAGGACTCACCTTCCGCCCGCGCAAGGTGCTGCCGCGTCTCCCGCGGCTCCGCGCCGGCCGCTCCACCACACCGCCGTCCCTCCCTCCCCGCCGCCCTATTTGTGGGCCGGCACCCCGCTCCCGCACCCTGCCCGCCTTGCCGCGGCCATTGGCTGCGGGGGCCCGCCCCGCCGCCCCCGGCCGCCAAGGTGGGCAGCGGGGCCCGCGGCACCCGGGCAGGGGGGTCGGTCCTGCCCCTCCGATCGGCGCCCGGGCGCGGCATCGCAGCCGAGCGGCCCGCGGAGGAAAGTTTTTTGGGGGGAGGGGGTGGTACCTCCGGGTGCGGCAGATCGGGACTCCGGACCGTGTTCCCCAGTGCTGCCTCGGGAAGTGGCGGCTGCCCAGAGCCCCGCGGCTCCGCAGGGCAGAGGGCGGGAGCGGCGCCGGCCTGGGACGTAGGAGTCTTTGGCGATCACGCCATCGGCGGAGCCGCCACGCGGGGAGTGGATCGCCGGCAATCACACCCTTGGCGAGCGGCGCTGCAAGGACTTTATTTCTGCTCCCCGTATCGCGCTGTGCTATCGCTGAGCCGGCTCCATTGTGCTGAGCGCCGTGTGCGCGCAGATCCAAAAAAGGCAAGAATAAAAAGGGCTCTGCCTTGCCGCTGTGTTGCAAAAGCCGAGGCGTCTATACCTTATATTGCCGAGATCCGGGTGTTCCCTCTCCCCGTGATCTAAAGCTTGCTGGAAACTTGTCACCCTAGTTAACAGGAGTTTTCGGCTCAGCGCGTGTGCTCTGCCGAGAGAGGAAAAGAGGAAGGATTTGACTGCACGTACGGCTGCACTGCTCTCCAGAACAGAGCACGGGCACGGCGAGGTTGTGCTCTGCGGACCTGCTATCTAGATGTACAAGAATGAAATGTTGAGTGGAGCAGGTAGATACAGGCAAAAGAGAGACAAATAATACAGGACACCAGATCTGCCTTTTGTGCCGAGACAACATTCCCCCTATATATGACTGATTAAGACAGCGCTGCCACAGTCTTCCCCTTCCCCCTTGTACGAACATTTCCGAGTTCCAGTGACAAGTTTGTTCGGGAGCTAAACCAGCAGAAAATTAACATCGCGAAAGTAAACAAATGGAGGAAGCGAGAATGCGAGTCTAGGACTGATAGAGTGGGACTGCCACAGAGCTGATTTCAATCAGCTGAACCTGCTGTGGAATTGAACACTTGGAATCGCTTCCCTCTGTTGGATACGTTTAAAATTGGATTCAAATTCACACACACAGGCATGAGCTTCCCCAAGCACTGTCTGGCCGTAGTCTGTCCTCTGGTTGCAACATAAAGGTGTTTGTGTCAGTTCAGGGTAGTATATCAGTAACTTCGCTTCAAAGACAGCCACAGAACCAGCCTGTATCAAGAATCCCACAGTTACATGGGAGCTTACAGGGTTGCTGCTGGTGGGGAACTGAGGCAAAAACCAGGCAGCTCAGCTTAAATGCCAGATCCATAAAGGGGGCACCATCAAAGCTGGAGTTAAAACCCAACAGTTACCCTTCAGCCCTGAACTGAGACCTGAAGACTAACTTCCTTTTGTACCACACTTGAAATCCCAAAGCCTTTTCAGAAATATGGATACACCCTGATAATTTAAAAAAATAATTTTTGAAGCCAGGCAAGAGAATACGCAAAAACACGCCTTGTTTGGCAAGTTATTTTGCCAAATACATCCATTCAACCCCATGGAAAATGGGCGAGTAAGGTAATTGCAGTGGTTGACCTAAGGGCTGGTCCATACATACCTGGTGTACTGCGCTCTACTCAGCCTTAGTGAGGCTGCATCCGGAGTACCGTGTCCAGTTTTGCACTCCTCAGTACAAGAGACACATGGAGCTTCTGGAGCAGGTCCACGGGGAACTACAAAGATGATTAAGGGACTGGAGCATTTCTCTGCAGCTTCAGCCTTGAGAAGGGGTGACCGAGAGGGGACCTCATCAATGTCTATAAGTATCTGAAGGGAGAGTGTCATGAGTATGGAGCCAGACTCTTTTCAGCGTGCCAAGTAATAAGACAAGAGAAAACAGAAAATGATCCACAGAAAGTTCCACCTGAATATGAGGAAGAACTTCTTTACTATGCAGGTGACCACGCACTGTAACAGATTGCCCAGAGAAGTTGTGGAGTCTTCCTCACTGGAGATATTCAAGAACCATCCTGATGGAATTCTGTGCAACATGCTTGAGGATGACTCTACTTGAATAAGGAGGTTGGACCAGGTGACCCACTGTGGTCCCTTCCAACCTTACCCATTCTGGAGTCTGTGACACTAAGAGCCCCTTCTCTAGCTGTATAAAGGTATTTAAAGAAGCGTGAAATAACCAGGACTTCCATTATAGGTGCTTTAAAGCCACTTGAAAATGAGGAAAGACAATCTATACACAGGTTAACTCAGTTCAAAAATTCTTTCAATTAAACCTTTGTGTATTTACTGCCAAGGGATCTCACCAAAACTTTCAGAACTGTGTTCTTACCTTTTGCTATTATCCTACTCTGCAGTAATGTGGAATCCTAAAGAGGTATCCTGAAGGGATATTCTGGGATTACAATACTTACAGTTTTCTGAATTTTCCCAAATTTTGAGATTCCTTTGTCTGAAACTATTGCTGGATATTTCAGAGGGAGTTCCAAAACAAAAGGAGGAGGATGTCCATGAACAACACCAGAATGGGATATAAAGCTACAACTGCAAACCAGAATTTGGTACTTGAGAAAGGAATGAGTGAAATGTAAATCATTTTATTTGCATTTCTAAGCACTCAGAGCAAAGTGTTCAGGGGGTTTTCAGGGAAAGGATCCATCCTGCCTTGTAATCAGGTTAAAGTCAGATGGCTCTTTTCCAGTGTGGGCAAAAAAGGGGATTTCTTACACCTCCAAAGGGTTTCCTGTGTTTTGTGGGAAGAAGCCTGGCACCAGGCCCCAGCCTCAAAGACCAACTCTGTTGAACAATCAGTTTTATACTGATCACGTAAGAACTGTATTTTGCTCCCCTTCAGACACACAGCAGAACAAGCAGTACCACTGCTGTAGGGCATAGCCTGATGATTTCTTCTTTGTCAGCAGTACCAGTATCAATAGTTCTTACTCTGCTGTGCATCTCTGTTCCTGAGCTATTCCCTGCACTGTGCCAGCACAGCTATTTGTGCAGCTATGTAAGGGAAGAGATCAAGGAACTGGTTCACCCAAGATTTTTTCTGGATGTTTTTCAGCCAGATCAAATCCCCAGATATCTTGGCTGACACAGTGCAGGGGGAACAGAAGAACATGTGTAATCACAGATGCTAAAACTTAGCTGAGGGACAGTAACTTGTTAGGATGTACCACTTTAGTCACCTGCAATAACCCGTCCACTCCTTTAATCTGCTCTAGCAAATAGAGACAAATTGGCTGCAGCCTATAAGGAAGAAACCAGAATTCATTAATGACTTGAAAACTAATTACAAATCTCTAGGTCTTAGTAGTTGGGAAAAGAAAAAGACAAAAAGAAAAAAGAGGTCCTACAGTTATACAATACACAGTTTCAAAGTTCCTCAGCCAAAGATCTCACTGCAAAGATGCAGAAAACAGCAAGCACCAGCAAGCAAAATTGAAGGTGATGGTGGGTCAGCATACCACTGCCTGGGGGTTTCTCACCCAGTAAATCAGAAGTCAATCCAGCAGAGTAATGTTGTTATAGTGGTGTGATGTGATGAAGAAGACAGACTATGATTCATCACTGCCCTACATATCATGTAAGCTTGTACAGCTCTGCAAAATGTATGTAAAACACTTTCAAATCACAACTATCTCCTTTTCATTTTGTCCAGATAATACAGCAGACTAAAGCAGTGAGGAATGTGTTTCTGGACACAAATCTGTGATGCACCGATGTTTTTCCTGAACAAACACACAAAAGCACGTCAGCAGTGATTTTTCATTTCCTCGGTAAGTTTTAGGGTGTCTTAGTGCCAGAAAAGCAAAGTAAAAAATAACAAAAGGACCAGAACACCTGACTAGTGAAGAACAGCATCTGGTTCCCATCTTACATATCCTGATGTCAGATAGTGTGTAATACCCATCGCAACGGAAGTTAAAATCGGTTCCAAAACGTATACAAGAAGCACATTACATCTGATGCATATTTAACATGGACATGCACCTCCTAACATCCTGGAGAAAGGTTTGCTAAGATTTCTCCGCCCAGTATGAGTTCAAATACAGGAGTAGGAACCAGGGTCACCATTTTAGCAAAGCTAGCTCTGGGTTGGTTACTCTTGTTTGATCTTAGCACTGAAGTCAAAAATCCAGCTTATGTGCTACCAATTCTCAGTATTTGGCTTTATGCAGTTGTTTCACTCCAGATAAATGGTTAGAGCGTCATATTGTACATGTTCCCACTTGCCACTTAGTCCTCCATTTCTGTACCGAGAGGCTCACAGTAGAGGGCCAGGATCTGTCTGGTACAGTTATAACAGTTATTACAACCTGGTACATTTTTGTGATACTAAAATCCCAAATAATTCAGGTTCTCCTTAAGGGTTACATTCTTGTTGGTTAAGTTACCCTATAGTTGACTGAAAACTTAGAGGAACCTTCATGCCATTCCAATTTTAAATCATCTCTTACCGCTTCACTGAAGTCCTGGAATCTTGCAAAACCTCTGATGATGAATACACTTTTACATTCCAGATCTCCTTTAGCCAGGAAATTGCACAGAGACAGCTAAGAGCGTTCAGTGCTTTGGTGAGCAGTCAGCAAGTCGGGGGAATACTAGGGAAGCCACAAATGACTATTCGATTCTGGAAGCCTTGTGTATCTCTGGAAGTCATAAAATACAGATGGGCAATGGCTTAACGGTGAGGTCAGTCTTTGATTCATTAGCTAATAGCTGAATTTAAACACATATATCTGAGTTTTGAGGCATGCTGCTAATTCAAGCTTAAAAACATGGGGTGAGTTTCTTTGGAGCTCTACAGGATCCTGGTTTTGGCTTAGATTTTGTATGTTTTCTCAATGATGCAAATAGTTTGTTTTTCGAAAAAATATGACCAGCCACTGGTAATCTTAGGTAAAAAACAAATTGAAATGTCATAAGCTCTTTTTGCGGTTGGGGGTATAAGTTTCAAACACATTGGGTCAGTCACTGGAGCTATGCAAAGTCCAGGGGCTGACCATTATGTGTGTTAATCCTACATTGTGCAAGACTCTGTGGAAACGAGTACCATAACAGAAAAGTCTGTTTTCAGATATAAAAAGCAGGAACTAGACTCAAAATTTCCTCTTTCCTTCTCCAACTGCAGTCGTAGCTATACTTCCCTGCATCAGAACTTCCCTCTGCCTGCAGTCCAAAAAGCCCCTATCCATCCCTGCCCCTATTCTTCTCCAGCTGTTTCTTGAAACATCTATTTCCTCTCCTTTCCCCTTCCTTCCACCCCCTGCCTTATTTAATCATTCACTTAACTTTTGAAAGCCCCTTCCTTCCCTGATCCCACCACCCAACCTAAGGTGAGGACACAAATATGGTCTAGACACTCCTTTAGTGTTCAGTGTTCCGTCTCAACTGGAAATTGTAGAATCCTAGAAAGGAAGGGACCTTAAAGGTGATCTAGTTCCAACACGTCTGCCATGGGCAGGGACACCTTCCACTAGACCAAATTGCTGAAAGCCCCATCCAACCTGGCCTTGAACACTTCCAAGGTTGGGGCATCCACAGCTTCTCTGGGCAACCATTCCAATGCCTCACCAGTCTCATAGTGAAGAATCATGACAGCAGCTCTACTTTACAAAATACAGGCAGCTGCAGACAAAGAATGAGGCACCCAGGGAGAGCGAGAGGGGCACCGCTGAGAGGTGTGGGGGGAGGGAGAGGTCATAAATACTGCTTATTCACTTGGGCCTTTGGAGCATGAAAGAATTGCTGACAGTTAAGGAAGTGTGGAAAGCAGCATAGTAACAGCAGACAAACGTCTCAAGCACAGGAGAGCCTGTCTCCCGACTGGCAAAATACCTGCAGAAATCACAGAACTGTCTATGGTTGCTGGCTGCTGTTCAGCCACCAGGACAAGTGGTCCTGGCCTGGACCCTTGTGTGGCAGAGACTTCTTAGAACTGTTTGAGTGACTGTCCTGGCCTCAGGTGTGAACAGGTTCTCTGGACTGGACCCGAACCATGACTCTAAGCTTCTCTTCTCAATACAAAGAATTCAGAAAAAAGTAACATTGCTCAAAATATAAATTTGCTGCCTAGAACAGGTTTCCCAACAGACACGTCTGCGACAGGTTTTCCTTCCAGGATTCAGCTTACAGAGTTGAAAAGGTTTTATAACAGACACTCAGAATCACTTTTCCATTTATTTTATTGTGTTTTACTATAGATCTGTGATGAGATAAATCCTCCTCTGTGAGCCTGTGGAGTAACACATTGGAAATGGATTTACTCGTAACTTGAGTTCAACAGCTCCTGCTAAACCCGTAAGAAAACCAGAATAATGCTTCTGAAAGTGAAATTAATCCAAATTATTCAGAACTATGTTATTTTTTAAAATTTCCTTTTACCTATATGTGGGGAGAAATAAAAAAGAAAGCTATAACATCAAGGGGAGACGACTCTGGAAAAACAAGGCTGCAGCAAACTTACCTTTCATTAGGGACTCCCCAAGTTTAATGGGCTATCTTATAAAGAAAATAATAATAAAAATAATTTCAAAATCAATTAGTTTTTCCTCTCTTTATTGATTTTTTTAAAGTATGCATCTGGAGAGTTTCCACTTCCAGTATCAGGGCTTAAAAGCAAAGCTAGGTAGTGCAAGAGACAGTCCGAATGAGACATCAGACAGGGACTACTAATCCAGGGCTATTTATTGCTCAAAACCTAACAAAAGCAGCTCATTTTTTCTACACAGAAAGTCTTAGTTGCATGGGAGGACACTGTAAACAGAGGAGGGGGAGCCTGAAAGAGATTGTAACAGTGTAATGGTACAACAAAATTAGATTCTTTTCCTGGTTTTGTGGAGCTTATTCAAACTGAATGACTCGGAGGACCTGATCCTGTTCTGACTGAAGCCAGTGAGAGATTTGCTACACATTTCAGAGAGAACAAAACCAGCCCTTCAGTCATAGCACCTCCGCCAGATTTTGTTTCACACCCTGCCAAAATGTCATAGCTTGAATCACTTCAGTAGCCAGAGCCATTTAAAACTGGACTGAACAAAACCCTGGAGAATAAACTGCAGAGAGAAATCTTCCTCTGTTCTTTCCCTTATCTCTGCTCTTCTGCCTCACTGGGTTACATGAATAGCAACCAAAAACTGCAGAGCACTGACAGACATGGAGTCTCCAGGCATTTCAGAGGTTTCACAAGCAAGCCATGAAAATACGAAAACACTACCCTTCATTTCTACCTGTTTGCATTGTGTCCAAGGGGGACTAAGTGGATCATAACAAAAAGATTATAGAGTAGCTGACTTCAAATGTTTTGGAAAAACTACGTTGAATTTGAGAGATTTCATAGCAGCTTCAAACATCAGTGCAGTTAAATTCTATTAAAGTGCAAAGTAAAGGTCTTCAGCAACATTATCTGAACTAACCTGGAGCAGACAAAATACCATAAAAACAGCAAGATAATTCAAATTATTAACTCATCAAAAAGCAGGAGAGATGGAGCACCCATTTTGCGGGGCAAAGAGAGCTTGAATAGTTAGTCCAACAGAGGGAGCTATGCAAGCTAAGGGGCAATTTTGCTGAGGACAGTGACACTGGTAATTTAATTATACTGGTTGGTCACACTATAACCAAAGTTACACTGGAGATATAGATCACAACAAGCCTGCCAAGAGAGCTGGCCCTGCAAAATTCCTTTGATATGATGTACATCTCAGTGCTGTCCAAATCGCTTATGAGTCACGGATTGTTCTGCAGGACACAGGAAATCTTAATAAATTAATTTAATTGCGTAATCCTTTCCAATTGCTTCCTTGTATATACCTGCAAGAACCACTAAATAACAACATACAATCCCCTGAACTTTTTCACTGGCTGCCTTAGCACACCACATTGATCTTCCAAAACTGCCAGGGTAAAACTGAGGTTTCAGGAACATACTATCCTCTAACTTCACATTTCTGTCAAACTGCCTTTGAAATCAGAGGAATGTCAAGTTGCACTGGCTGAACTGGCCATAAAAAAATATCTCTGAAGAGGTTTCTATCCTGAATTTCACCATCTTGTCTCGGTTTTTTAATTATCAGTTTTAGGGCTGGTTATTTTGCTTTTCTTTTTGCCACATTTCCTGGGATATATAGAGATTCTTATCAAATTATTAAATTCTGACCAAGTAATTAACTTCATCAGCATAAATTAATCACCAAACCATCCTATGAGCTGTATCACAGATGGGGAAAATGAAGTAAGAGCTCAACCTGTAGCCTCAGGCTGTGCAGCAAAACTACTGCAATAATGCCTTTTGAATTCAGGAGCTCCTACCTCCCGGTTCTGCTCTCAGACTAGATCAATCCTTTAAGTTGCCTCTGAATGCTTCCAATTGCAGCAAATGTAAACCTCCTGGAAGAGACCCGGCTCTGCAGTCATACAGAGAACTAATCTTCAGCAGGCAGATGAACTACAGAGAAGAAATGTTTAATTTTCCCATTTGCATCAGATTGGCAGTGTCTGTCCAAAGGCTTTGTGTTAGCAGACAGCAGCCCTGCAGAAAAACAGGATGCTGAAACTTATTCTCTGTTGACGGTGGCCTTTATCCCACCCAAAGAGGAAGGTGTAAATGGCTGTATAGAGAAAAAGGGCCTAGAGGCCCAAGGTAAATAATTTTCAAAAAACAGTGCAGAAAGTGAGTCAGCTGCTGATGGATGGGGACTGTGTTGGAAACAGGGTGGGAAAGCTACTTGTCAACAGGGAACTGGGTTTGGGAACATTTAAGTTCCATGGTGGACAATGCTCTGTTGTGAAATCTGTGTATTGAGGATTTCTTATTTTTGCCTGTATGCCTAGATTCCTGGGAAGAGCACATTTAATAAGACCGTATTCAAGAAGACCATGCTGAAGTAATTGTTTTCCCCCTTTAATTTTTAAGTGGTTACAAAACAATGAAGCTCTCAGTTCCTTGGACTTCACAGGGGAGAATTTACAAAGAGCTGCTTAATCTCTTTCAGTTCAGCTCTTTTATTCTCATGGGTATCCAGTTGCAAGGTATCTGTATCAGTCTCTGAATTCTCAGCCATGCATCAAACTGTAAGCTCTTGTTTTAACATGCTGTTTCAGGACTGACCAGGTTTCAGCACGAGTATGCGAGGGCTGCTATGCCTAAATCCGTTTGACGTTGGCAGAGGAGCAGTGTCACAAATCCAGCAGTACTCATGCTGATGATGAAATGCCAAGTAAGCGCTTTCACAATGCTGGGCTAATCTTAACGCTGATGCTTGCGATCTAGAAGGAAGCAAGCTGTCCAACTAAAGTAGGCATATCACCAAGGAAGATTTGAATGCTTCCTGATTAGTTTTCCAAATAATTATTTCATTTGCTTATAACAGAGATTAGCTTGCAATTCAAGTATTATATGGTTTTCTTCATTGCAAACTGCAATTAAGGAGTCAGATGGCAAGATACAAACCATACCACAAGATCAGCTAGGAAAGAGTGGTGAAACCAGACAATATTAGAGTTTCAAATCAATTTCCTCACACTATTGCCAGGCAGTCTCAAATGCAAAGTGGAAAAAAGGAACATAAATATATTTATAGTTAATGTAATAAATTAACACCTGTTTGCTACATTAATGTGTGAAATTTGCTAAATTAAAATGCTAAATTTGGCTCAGTCACTTAGCAACAGCTGCATCAGTTTAAGATATTTCCATTCTGCAGCTGTTAGCTGTCACCTCAGGTTGGAGCTCCCATACAACCTTAGAATGGTTTGGGTTAGAAATACCTGTAAGATCATCTAATTCCAACCCCCCTGCCATGGGTACCTTCCACTAGACCATGTTGCTCAGGGCCCCATCCAGACTGGCCTTGAACAATTCTAGGGATGGGGCAGCCACAGCTGGTGCCTTACCACTCTCACAGGAAAGAATTTTTTCCTAACATCTAGTCTAAAAGTATCCTCTTTCAGTTTAAAGCCATTCCCTCTTGTCCTGTCACTCCATGCCCCTGTCAAAAATCCCTCTCCAGCTCTGTTGCAGCCCTTTTATGTACTGACAGGTGCCCCTTTAGGAGACTGTATGGTCTTACCCAGAGCCTTCTCTTCTTGAGGCTGAACAACCCCAAGTCTCTCAGCCTATTTCCATAGCAGAGATGCTGCAGCCCTCCAATAGTTTTTGTGGCTCTACTCTGGACTCACTCCAACAGGTCCACGTCTTTTTTGTACTTATGACCCCAGCACTGGACATGGTACTCTAGGTGGGGTCTCACCAGAGCAGAGTAGAGGGGCAGAATCACCTCCCTTGACCTGCTGCCCACACTGCTTTTGATGTGGCCCAAGATACAACTGGCTTTCCGGGCTGCAAGTGCACATTGCCAGGTCATGCTCAGCCTCTCATCCACCAGCACTCCCAAGTCTTCTTTACAGGGCTGTTCTCAATCCATTCATCCCCCATCTGTATTGAAACCAGCTGTTGTATTGAAACCAGCTGATCCACATGCAGCACTTTGCACTTGGCCTCGTTGAACCTCAAGAAACTCCCACAGGCCCACTCCTCAAGCTTGTCCAGGTCCCTCTGGATGGCATCCCATCCTTCAGGTGTGTCAACTGCACCACACAGCTTTGTGTCATCTGCAAACTTGCTGAGGGTGCACTTGACCTCTCTAGAAAAGTCAGCAGAAGGAAACGTGTACCTGCATTTTGCCCGCTCCTCTCCCAAACCAAGTGTCTTCCCTCAGATGCATCTTTATCGACTATCTACTTGTTTGGCTTTGTTGTTAGGTAGAAGCCTCAGCACTTGTTCATTCTGATAGCTGTGATGTGAAGCAGTAGTCCACACCAGAGAGGCAGAACAAACTTTAACTGCCATAGCAATACTCATCAGAGTGTACCCAGCAGTGCCTGAAGTGAAGATGAAAGTAGAATCACGAATAATCATGAAAGTGCCTAAGGAAATAAGGACAAAAAATTTCAACAGGAATTTTGTCACAGTGCAACACACTGTTTAGAAATTACTGTGCCAAAAAGAAGGAGCCTAAGGCTTAGCATACACCCCAGGGGATAGGTAGATCTAGTCTTGATCCAAGCTCTCTTGACCACTTAACTGCAATGCTGCAGTTATTTATTTACTTGTTTCCTGATGCAAGTGGCTGTGAGTGCTGTGATGTGTATTCAGGTCAGTGCTGTCCCCTGTGAGGCAGGAGTGCCTGGAGTGCAGCCTCCAGACCACAACCCTCAGCGGATGCAGACAAAGGAATGCTTACTCTGAGGATCGTGGGTAGCAGGATTAAGAGCAATACAGGAGCTGAAACCGCCGAGAAAAATTCAGAGGGCAAGAAATTTGGCCAGCCAGAAAGAAATCGCTTGCGCTGGTGATTTTGAAGGGCCATGCTGTGAACCTACACACCTAAACACCAACAGGAAAATGCTCAAAAATTATTATTTTGATCCTTAGATATTCCTGCCAGAGAATATGCCACTGGAATAAACAAATTCAATAAGTTACAGTCACAGAAGG